TTTTTGGGAAGCGTTTCCACAGGGAAGGAGCAGCAGGCCAGAGGCTCCAGCCCTTCCCACCAAAACGCGCCTCTTTCGGATTCCTTTTTTATATTTTTTCTCTTTTTTTCTCCCCAAAATCCATTCCCAAGCCCCTGCCCTCCATCCCGCGGGAATTATCTCCGGGCGGGCGCGGTTGGGATTTGCAGGAGCTCCATTTCCCAAGGAAAAACCTCTCCGGCCCCGAAATACTGGGGGCACTGGGAGGTGCTGGGGGATATTGGGGGTGCTGGGGGGCACTGGGGGACTCTGGGGGTTGCTGGACACTGACAACAATGGGCACTGGTGGACACTGGTGGACACTGGTCACTGCTGGGCCCTGGTGGGTGCCCCATTCTCCCCCCAGCCCAGAGCTGCTCCTCGGCCTGATCCTGATCCGGGGTGAATCCCCAATCCCCGACCCCCAATCCCCGATCCCCAGTCCCAGACGGCTGAGCCGCGCTCCCGACCTCTTTCGGATTCCTTTTTTATATTTTTTCTCTTTTTTTCTCCCCAAAATCCATTCCCAAGCCCCTGCCCTCCATCCCGCGGGAATTATCTCCGGGCGGGCGCGGTTGGGATTTGCAGGAGCTCCATTTCCCAAGGAAAAGCCTCTCCGGCCCCGAAATAACTCCTGAGCTCGAGGGGATTGCGGCCAAATCCCGAGGCCCGGGAGGGGCCGGGGGACTGGGGGGGAGAGCCAGGAGAGCCCTTTCCATGCTCCCACAGTGCCCGGGATTCCTGCTGGGGGCATGGACTGTGGGGGTCCCCATTTCACTGCTGTAACCCCCCCAGTCTCCAGTCCCCAATCCCCAATCCCCAATCCCCAATCCCCAATCCCCAATCCCCGATCCCCGATCCCCAATCCCCAATCCCAGACGGCTGAGCCGCGCTCCCGCCCTAATCCCGGCCCGGCTGCTCCGGCTGCTGCCAGCGGGGCCTCCCTGCCTCAGTTTCCCCAGCCCCTAAATCCTGCTGCTCTGTGCCCACGGGTCTCTGAATTCTGGGATCCCAAAACCCCAGGAACCCAGAATCCCAGAACCTCAGGATCCAAAGATCCCAGAACCCTGGGATCCCAGAACTCCTGAATTCTGGAATCTCAGAACCCCAGAATTCCAGAATCCCAGAATTCCTGAATTCCAGAGCCCCAAAATCCCAGAATCCTAGAATCCCAGATCCCATAACTCCAGAATCCCAGGATCCAAAGATCCCAGAACCCCGGGATTCCGGAACTCCTGAATTCCGGAATCTCAGGAACCCGGAATTCCAGAATCCCAGAACCCCAGAACCCAGAACCCCAGGACCCCAGAATCCAAAGATCCCGGGATCCTGGAATCTCAGAACCCCAGGATTCCAGAACCCCGGCATCCCAGAATTCCTGAATTCCAGAACCCCAAACCCCAGAATCCTAGAATCCCAGATCCCAGAACCCCAGGATCCCAGGACGGATGAGGTTGGAAAAGCCCATCAAGCCCATCCGGAATTCCAGGAATTCCTGGGTCGCCTCCAGGGCTGCCCCTCCCACCCTCCCCAGCCCCTTCCAGGTGGAAATTCCCCCTGAAATCCCGGATCCCGCAGAGCAGATTTGGGAATTTTGGGACAAGGAAGGACACAGAGCCCTTTGGGGAGCAGCCCCGAGCCCATCCCGAGGATCCCCCAGGCCGTGCCTCGGGGTGTTCCCTCCCTAATTAATGTTCCCTAATTAATTCCCTAATTCCCCAAATCTCCCGCGTTTGTCTGGGCAGGGGTGACACCCGGGGGACATCTGCCACCGGGATTATCGTCTCCACAAATGATTCACTGGGAGGCCACCAATTCATCAATCCAAATTAATTAATTAATTACACCGCGGTGATTAATCCCCGGATCAACAATGAGCTGTTAACCCGAACTTCTCCGGCCTGGAAAAATCCGCATTTTTCCCCTTTTTTCCCCCCCTTCAAACCCCCGCATTCAGAATGTGCATTTTCCAAAAATCCCTTCCCAAAACCCCGCGCTGGGATGATGGAATTCTGGGATTTTGGGGTTCCAAAATTCAGGAATTCTGGGACTCTGGGGTCCCAAAATTCAGGAATTCTGGGATTTTGGGGTTCCAAAATTCAGGTATTCTGGGATTCTGTGGACCCAAAATTCAGGATTTCTGGGATTTTGGGGTTCTGGAATTCAGGAATTCTGGGATTTTTGAGTTCTGGAATTCAGGAATTCTGGGATTTTGGGGTTCTGGGGTCCCATCCCGACACTTTTCCCGTCGGAACCAGCTCGGACACAGCTCCAGGATTTCATGTGGGGCTGGGGGCGTCACAGCTGCATCCCGGTTCCTGCATTCCCGGAGGGATTTGGGATCTGGGGGGGGTTCGGGGACCCCCCGGCCGCTCGCGGTCTCCTGCTGCCACCTCCCGGCCTCTGCTCTGAAAAGAATTCCCGGGATTTTCCCTCCCCGCCGCCTCGGGAATGCGGGATGGGAGCAGCGAATCCCATAAAAACCGTCCGGGAACGCGGGGAGGGTTTGGGGCTGGAACGGGGAGGATTTGGGGGCTGGAATGGGGATTTTGGGGCTGGAATGGGGATTTTTGGGGCTGGAACGGGGATTTTGGAGCAGAATGAGGGGAATTTTGGGGCTGGAACGGGATGGATTTTGGGCTGTAACGGGAATTTTGGGGCTGGAACGAGAAGGATTTGGGGGCTGAAGGAGGAGGATTTTGGGGGCTGGAATGGGGAGAATTTTGGGGCTGGAACGGGGAGGATTTTTGGGGTTGGAAATGGGGTTTTGAGGTTGTAAAGTGCATTTTGGGTTGGAGATTCCTCCCCAAACTCCCGGTCCTGCTGCTGGGGTGCCCGAGCTGGGGAGGGGTCCCCGCTCCGAGATTTCCCCGCCCGTGGGTGGCCGCTGTCCCCCGGCGCTGCTGGCGCTGCTGCTGGGGCTGGCCGGGAGCCGAGGTGAGGAGGGGGCGCGGGATGGGGGGCCGGGGGGCGATTGGGGATTGCGGGGAATCCGGGAATTGCGGGAATTCGAGAATTGCCGGGAAAAGCCGGAGCGGCGAGAGCGGCTCGGGGGATGGAGCGGGGCTGGCTGCGGGTTTGGGGGATTCTCCTCGGAGCTCTCAGCCCGGCGCCCGACCCCCGGAGGAGGAGGAGGAAGAGGAGGAGGAGGAGGAGGAAGGAGCCGCACGGGGCAGAGGAAGTCCCCGCCGCGCTCTCGGCAGCCCTGAGGGGTCCCCGCTCCGAGATGTCCCCGCCCGGGGGTCGCCGCTGTCCCCCGGCGCTGCTGGCGCTGCTGCTGGGGCTGGCCGGGAGCCGAGGTGAGGAGGGGGCGCGGGATGGGGGGCCGGGGTGGGGGCGATTGGGGAGGGCGCGGGATGGGGGGCCGGGGGGCGATTGGGGATTGCGGGGAATCCGGGAATTGCGGGAATTCGAGAATTGCCGGGAAAAGCCGGAGCGGCGAGAGCGGCTCGGGGGATGGAGCGGGGCTGGCTGCGGGGTTGGGGGATTCTCCTGGGAGCTCTCAGCCCGCCCTGCCCCGGGAGAGCCGAGCCGAGCCGGGCCGGGCCGTGACGCGGGGCCGGTTCCCTTTCCTGGGCAGAGTTGGGCTGAAAGTCGCGACTTCCCTGTCCCGACAGTTCCCCAACCCCACAGCTGCCACCTCTCCCTCTTCCCAAACTCAAATCCCTCTGCCCAGCCAGCACAGTTCCTTTTTCCCGGGATTTTGGGGCACCCGGGGTCTTTTTTCCCCCGAAAAGCAGCGACTTTGGGGTGTGGGGAGCGGGGAACCGGCGGGATTCGGGAGATGGATTCACCCTGGAGCATCCCCAGGTGCCTGGGGCATCTCCCGGCCACACCTTGGCGGGGTTTGGCGTCGTTGTTTTCCCGACAGCTCCAGGATTTGCAGAATCCCAGGATTTCTGAGGCTGGGAGAGAGCTCTGAGGTCACGGAGTCCAGGCTGGGACCAACCCCCACCTGGTCCCCCAGAATTCCAGGAATTCCTTGGACACCTCCAGGGGTGGGGATCCAACCCTCCCTGAGCCCTTTCCAAGCTCTTTTCTCTTTTCCAGGAGGAATTTCCCCACATTTCCCACCCTGGCACAGCTCGAGGCTGTTCCCTCCTGTCCTGCCCCATTCCCTGGGATCAGATCCCAAATCCCCTCTGGCAGATCCCAAATCCCCCCTGGATCCCCTTCTGTCCAGGCTGAGCCCCCCCAGCCCCCTCGGGAGAATTTGGACCCTCTCACCCCCCTGGCAGCTCCGGAGCTGCAGGAAAAGACAATTCCCTGCAGGAAAATTCCCGTGTCCTGCAGGAAAATTCCCGTGTCCTGCAGGAAAGTTCCCGTGTCCTGCAGGAAAATTCCCGTGTCCTGCAGGAAAGTTCCCATGTCCTGCCGGAATTCCGGCACCTGGAACACGGGGAAATCCCTTCCCGTGCCCCCCGCAGGTCCCACCCATCAATAATCCCGGCTCCCACTCCCCCAGGGGAGGATTTCCTGCCTCTCCCCGCTCCAGCCCCTGGAATTCCCAAATTCCCCGAGCCTCGGGGTGTCCCCACACCTGCACAGCCCGGGGCTGGAGCCGCTGGAAATTCGGGAGCAAAAATGCCTTGGGGAGGAAATTCCTGGTGGGAAACCCCCTGGGATGGGTGGGGTTGGCGCCGGGGGCTGGGGAAGGGGGGGTTTGGGGGGCTGGGCCGTGCAAAGAGCCCCCAGAGCTGCCCTGACCACACGGAGCCGCAGGAAGCGGCGTCGGCCCTCCGGATGTTCCGCGGGTTTTATTTTGGGGGCCTTCGACATCCGGGGCTGCTCTCGAGAAGAGAAACGCAGAAAGTTGAGAGGAAAGGGGGCAGGGGGTGAAATTCCCTGGGATGGGGAGGGGGATGGGCACCGGGAGGGGGAGGGGAGGTGTGGAGAGAGAGGAACCCCTGGAACGGGGAATGGACACAGAACCACTCTGGGATAACGGGGAGAGGGGAAATTTGGGATGGGGAATGGACACAGAACCACTCTGGGATAACGGGGAGAGGGGAAATTTGGGATTGGGAATGGACACAGAACCACTCTGGGATAACGGGGAGAGGGGAAATTTGGGATTGGGAACCAGCCCAGGATGGTGAGGAGAGAGTGGAACCCCTGGAATGGGGAATGGACCTTGACCACTCTGGGATAACGGGGAGAGGGGAAATTTGGGAATGAGATGGGGAATAGATACAGAACCAGTTTGGGGTAATGGGGAGAGAGGGGAAATTTTGGGATGGGGAACAGACACAGAACCAGCTTGGGATGGTGTGGAGAGTGGAGTTTTGGGGATGGGGATGGGGAATGGGCCCTGGGGCCAGGAGTGGCCTGGGTGGGCGCTGCAGGTGCAGCCCAGGGGTGGCCCCAGCAGTGACCGTGTCCCCTCTGGAGCCACGGAGTCACAGCCTCACCCCGGCTCTGGTTTAGGATCCCCGGGATGCCAAACCCGAGTTGTGTCTGTGGGAGGATCGCTGTGCCTGGCGCCGGAGGAACCCGTGTGGGAGTGGAGAGAGATCCACTGGAAAGTGAAAATTGGTTCAGGAACATGGCAGCGGATCCTGACAGCCACCGGGGATGGAAGTGTCTCCTATCCCAGAGGTTCTTTCCATGGGAAAGGGAAATTCCAGCCGGGAAACTTCTCCCTGTGCATCTCCGCGGTTCACAGAGCCGACAGCGGGGTCTATATGGCCGAGCTCGACAATGGGTCAGTGATTTCCTCTCAGTGCTTCCGAGTGTCCGTGTGGGGTGAGTGCCTGGGTCCCTGTGTCCCCGTGTCCCTCATCCCCCTGTCCCTGTGTCCCCGTGTCCCTCTGTCCCCTGTCCCCTGTCCCCTCTCACCCTCGCTGTCCCCGCAGACCCCCTCCCACCGCCGGAGCTGAAATCCCAAATCCTGCAGCGGGATCGGGGCTGGTGCACCCTGGCCCTGCTCTGCTCCAGCCCCGGGAACGTCTCCTACAGCTGGGCCTGTCCCGGGCATCCCCCGGGGGACATCCCGGAGCAGATCCTGGAAAAGATCCCGGAGCAGATCCCGGGACAGATCCCGGAGGAGATCCTGGAGGAAATCCTGGAGCAGATCCCAGGGGAGATCCCAGAGCAGATCCCGGGGGAGATCCCAGAGCAGATCCCGGAGCAGATCCTGGAGGAAATCCTGGAGCAGATCCCAGGGGAGATCCCGGAGCAGATCCCGGAGCAGATCCCAGTGCAGATCCCTGGGATCCCCTCCCGGCTGATCCTGAGGCTCCCCGAGGGCGCTGAACCCCAAATCTGCCTCTGCAACGTCAGCAACCCCGCGGGGTGGAGCGCGGCCCGCGCCCGGCTCACCTGCCCAGGTGATCTGCCCGTGGATCCCGGGATTTCGGGGGGCTGGGAGGGATCCACCGGGGTGGGGGCCAGGATTTAAAGTTTTGGAGTTTATAAGTGGGTAAAAATGTGTTTCCAGCACTAAAACCTTTTGAGCATGTATTTATTTCCATAGAAAATTGTACTTACTATTATTTCTTATTTATACTTACTTGCTTATTACTATTTCTTAAATCCATAATTATTTACATATGGAAATTAATTTATGTACATATATTACTCTATATAATACATTATATATATTATATATATATCCATTTATATAAGTTTATAGAAAACATAAACTTATTTATATATCTTTAATCCATTATTATTTTTACACTTTTTATTTGATATACGGCAAAAATAACACTTTACAGATTCAAGAAATCCTGGAATGTTTTGGGTGGGAAGGGACGTTAAATCGCAGCTCAATTCCAGGATTCTGGGATTCTTTTCCTGAAATTCCAGGGAATTTCAGCCACTGGACACTGCTGGCCGTGGCCGTGGCCGTGGCCGTGGGGCTGACCCTGCTCCTCGTGGGCAGCTGCTGCTGGTGGAGGAAGAGGAGGAAGAATTCTCGGGAAGGTTTGTCCAGAATGTGGGGGCAGGATCCCAAATTTTGGGGGTTTGACCCCAAACTGACCTTTGGAACCCAAATTTGGGGATTCTGACCCCACAGGGACCCCCGGAGCCCCCGCAGGACCCTCGGAGCTGACTGTCTACGCTGAGGTGGGAGAGAAGAAACCCCGCCAGGACCCCGTGAGTGCCGGGAATGTCCCTTCCCACCCAAAATCTGGGAATTTTGGGGTCGGAAAAGCCCTCCAAGGTCATGGAGTCCACCCTGGGGCGGAGCCCAGCCTGGTCACTCAGGGTCCGGTCATCCCTCGTACACTTCCAGGTCCAGGAACCCAAACCTCGGGCAGTTCCCAGGCCTGACCAGGCTTCCCATGGGGAAATTCCCTCCGTGTGGGAATTTTGGGAACCCCAAGTTGATCCTTTTAAGCATTCCTGGCTTTTTTTGTGTCCCCAGGCTGGGACGGGGGAGGCCACCCAGGAAGGAGCCACCATCTACGCCGTGGTCACTCCCAGGACACTGGTAGGGTCATTCCCATGGGATCCCAGCTGATTCCCAGGCTGGCACCATTTTTAATCCATTTTTTATCCCAAAATTTCCCATTGTTTGTGCATCCCGACCCTTTTTCCCTGGCAGGAGCACCCCAGGCACCGGGAGGAGCCCGAGAATTTCACCATTTACTCCACGGTCCAGTTTGGCCGCAGGGTGAGGCTGTCCTGGAGTGTCCCCAAGCCTTGGGGACACCAAATCCATGACCTCCGAGGTTCTGGGATTGTCATCCTGCTTTTCCCAATGGGAATTTTTCCCCTTTTTCCCACAGCCTTCCTCCATCAAGAGGAAGAGGCTGGACCGGGCTTTGGTCTCCACTGCCTACTTGGAGGTAATGGAGAATCCACGGGGGTTTTTTGGGACCAAAAAATCCCCAAAATGCCCCAAATACCACCCATTTCCTTGCAGGATAACGGGGGTTACAGGTGCTTGGGCTTCCCAAATCCTGCCGACCACCAGCACCCCTAAAACCCCGGAATTCCCATCCCTGTGGAATTCTCCAGGAAACTCCAGTGGACACTGGGATCAGCTGAATAGAAATATCCAGAAATTCGAGTTTTTTCCACCAAGATTCAACGCCCAGCTGTGCCTTGGAGCGAAGATTTGGGGATGGAAAACTCGGGAAGGGATGGATTTGGGATTGGGCAGGCGGGATGGGCGGGGGTGGGAATTTTGTGGGGTTTTTGGGGTTTGGAAATTTGGGAGTCCTTTTTTTTTTGTTGTTTTTCTTGGTGAAGGGTGTGAAGAGGTTTGGGTTTGCCAGTCTGAGTTTCTGGCCAAGGCACCAATTCTGGGGTGGGTTTAGTGCAGGTCAAACCCCAGCGCTCACTGGAGTTGTTTGCTCATTTCCTGCTGTGAGATACGGAGCAGGAGGGCAAAACAGCCTCAAAACTTTAAAGAGTATAAAAAAATCTTTATTGACTGACTTAAAATAAAAATAAAATCAGAATAAACCTTCGGAATGCTTATCCCCAAGCTCTTTTCTTTCCTACTGACAACGTAAAGAGACAAAACCTGGCACTTTTAGTCAGTTTACCAACTCAAAACAACCTTTCTTCAGCTCTTGCGGGGAGGAGTCTCTCCTGCCATGCCATGGAGACTTCTCCACAAGAAACAGCTCTTTCCTGGCTTTTAATTTTAATTTCCGTGAAGCGAACAAAGTCCATTGCGAGACAGCGGCGGCGCTGCCCCGGCCGTGAGGATTTTGGCCAGACAGTCTCGGCCTCGTGGTCACTCTGGATTTTGGGGCCACGAGGCCGCTCCTGGTGCTTGGTGTGGCCGTGTGGCTGCTCATTTGCGGCATTGGGACAGTCCTGGTGGCACGGCCCGGCTGTGGCAGGAATCTCAGCCCACCCTGGCCAGGTGGGGCCGGTCAGTGACCTGTTCCCAGGGCAGAGGAAGGCTGCTCATTGGTGGCATTGGGACAGTCCTGGTGGCACGGCCCGGCTGTGGCAGGAATCTCAGCCCACCCTGGCCAGGTGGGGCCGGTCAGTGACCTGTTCCCAGGGCAGAGGAAAGAGCTTTTCTTGGGCTTTGCTCATTTTTAAATCTGCTTTTCCACAGAGGCGTGTCCAGCTCCTTTCCGTGGTTTAACTGGCTGTCAATCTGCAAAGCGAGCCAGGTGATTGGCTCCTCAGACCTTGCCAGCGGATTGGCTCCGCCCCACAGGGAACCAACCCCAAAGACCCCTGGGATCTCCCCCAACTAAAAACCCAACAATCGGTTAAACCACGGGGGGAGATGAGGCAGAATCAGGAGAACCCCAAATCAGCCCCAAACCCACCCCAAATCAGCCCCATCCTGGCTCTGTCCCCACTCCCAGGTCCCACCTCCTGGGGTGGTTTTCCTGGGCTCCAGGGATGGTTTTCCACGCTCACCTTTGGATTTGCAGTAGAACACGAGGTAAATCGATAAAAGCGACGCGATTTCAACCCCGGCTACGACGCCGATCCTGATCCAGCTGCCGGAGTGGGCACCTGGAAATGGAAGAAGATCCAGAGGCAACATCCCAAAATAAACCTGGCTCTTCCTGGCATTGGGGCAGGGGGAATTTGGCCTCAAATCCCACCCTGATCCCCCGTTCCAGGAGATCTCACTCCAAGCCAGCGTAGAGATTGGACAAGCACTGGACAAGGACGAGGACCCCAGAATCCCCAAATTCCCCAGTTACTGGGTTAGAAAGGAACTCCGGAGATCTCCCAGTGCTGCCAGGACGGGGTCACCCAGAGCAGGGGACACGGGGACACGGCCAGGTGGGTTTGGGGTGGCTCCAGAGGGGGACACTCCATGGGAAGAGGTTCTCACACGGAGGTGGAACTTCTGGGGGTTGGGTTTGTGGCCACCACTCCTTGTCCTGTCCTGGTACCTCTGGGAAGAGCCTGGACATTCCCAGGAAAGGGATTTTGGGAGGAGCTGGAGGGTGCTGGGCTCGGGCTCCCCAGTCGCCCTTCCTGGCTGGACGTGGAAAAGCTGCCCTGGGCACTCAGGGACACTTGGGGACATTTGGGAACACTCACTCAGGAGTGAGGATGGACATGGACAGGGATGGCAGCTTACCTGGGCTCGGAGGGTGGGTGGCATTGGGACAGTCCTGGTGGCACGGCCCGGCTGTGGCAGGAATCTCAGCCCACCCTGGCCAGGTGGGGCCGGTCAGTGACCTGTTCCCAGGGCAGAGGAAAGAGCTTTTCTTGGGCTTTGCTCATTTTTAAATCTGCTTTTCCACAGAGGCGTGTCCAGCTCCTTTCCGTGGTTTAACTGGCTGTCAATCTGCAAAGCGAGCCAGGTGATTGGCTCCTCAGACCTTGCCAGCGGATTGGCTCCGCCCCACAGGGAACCAACCCCAAAGACCCCTGGGATCTCCCCCAACTAAAAACCCAACAATCGGTTAAACCACGGGGGGAGATGAGGCAGAATCAGGAGAACCCCAAATCAGCCCCAAACCCACCCCAAATCAGCCCCATCCTGGCTCTGTCCCCACTCCCAGGTCCCACCTCCTGGGGTGGTTTTCCTGGGCTCCAGGGATGGTTTTCCACGCTCACCTTTGGATTTGCAGTAGAACACGAGGTAAATCGATAAAAGCGACGCGATTTCAACCCCGGCTACGACGCCGATCCTGATCCAGCTGCCGGAGTGGGCACCTGGAAATGGAAGAAGATCCAGAGGCAACATCCCAAAATAAACCTGGCTCTTCCTGGCATTGGGGCAGGGGGAATTTGGCCTCAAATCCCACCCTGATCCCCCGTTCCAGGAGATCTCACTCCAAGCCAGCGTAGAGATTGGACAAGCACTGGACAAGGACGAGGACCCCAGAATCCCCAAATTCCCCAGTTACTGGGTTAGAAAGGAACTCCGGAGATCTCCCAGTGCTGCCAGGACGGGGTCACCCAGAGCAGGGGACACGGGGACACGGCCAGGTGGGTTTGGGGTGGCTCCAGAGGGGGACACTCCATGGGAAGAGGTTCTCACACGGAGGTGGAACTTCTTGGGGTTGGGTTTGTGGCCAGCGCTCCTTGTGCTGTCCTGGTACCGCTGGGAAGAGCCTGGACATTCCCAGGAAAGGGATTTTGGGAGGAGCTGGAGGGTGCTGGGCTCTGGCTCCCCAGTGGCCCTTCCTGGCTGGGCATGGAAAAGCTGTCCCAGGCATTTGGGGACACTCATGGCTATTTGGGGACTCTCAGAGATTCTCAGGAGTGAGGATGGACATGGACAGGGGTGGCAGCTTACCTGGGCTGGGAGGGTCCGTGGCACTTGCTGGAGAGGGGAAACAACAGCTCAGAGCTTTCCTCTGCATCCCGGGGAGAGCCGGTGCCTGGAGAGTGGGATCAGCCCAGCCCAACCCCAATATTCCCATCCCCACCACAAATCCCATCCCTGAATCCCAGCTTTTCCTGCTCTCAGGGGATCGGGACCAGCCCATCCCAACCCCAACATTCCCGTGTTTCTCAGGGGATCGGGACCAGCCCATCCCACCGTTCCCACCTGTCCCCAGCTCTCACCTGAGCAGAGCACCCCGGGGATGGTGACGGTGACGCTCCGGCTGCTGACGGGGTTCCGTGCCGTGCACGTCAGCGGCTCCGGCTCCTCCCGGGATGATTCGTTCACCCGCAGCACCACGGAGTCCCCGTCCCACGGCTGATCCCGCACCCTCCAGCTGTAGGAGACGTTCCCGAGGCCGGCGCCGGGTACGGAGCAGCGCAGGGAGAAGCTGCAGCTCCCGTCCGAGCAGTTCTGGGCCTCGCAGGTCACCGTGGGCTCTGCCAGCTCCCCTGGGGGCAGCGGGGTGTCACAAACCTCTCTTTTAGGGTAAAACCCCCCAAAACAGCACTAAAGGCACCTACCGAACACCTGGAGGGTGAAGGTGGATCTTTTTCCATCAGTTAATACAGAGTAGGTCCCGGCATCCTCCATCCTCAGCTGGGAGATGGTGAGCACGCGGCCGTTCTCGGAGACGGCAAAACGGGTTTGGAATTTGTCTTTAGAAAATACCGGTCGAGGAGGGTCCTCAAATGCCACAGTCACTATGGGATCATTCCCAAAATTCCAGAATGCTGCACTTTTGTCTGTGTTGTGGGTGCGGAAGGTCACAGACCTGCCCAGGACCCCGATCACCTCCTCGGTGTCGCTGGCGCTCGCTGGGGAGAGAAAGCAGGGAGGGAACATGAGATGGGGTGGGATGGAGGAGGGGGAATGTCGGATGGAGGTGGGCTCAGGGTGGGATGGAGGAGAGATGGAGGTCAGTTGAAGGGGGCAGGAAGGTGGGGTGGAGACAAGATGAAGCTGGGATGAAGGAGGGGTGAAGGTAGGATCAAGGTGGGATGGAGGTGGGCTGGAGGAGGGATGAAAAGGGGAAATGGAGGTGGGATGAAAAGCTGGGATCAAGGTGGGACCAAGATGGGATCAGGGTGGGATGAAGTTGCTGAACCCAGAGAATAAGCCAGACCTAGTGGGATCTGGTGATTCCAGGTGGGATGTCTCCATTCCAGGTGGGATCTCACCATTCCAGAGATGAGAACCCTCCCACACTCCTTTGGATGCAGCCCAGGACAAGGTCCAAATCTCCTTCCCAGGGGACAAGGAGCACCTGGCACTCACTGGTTTGGTGGAGGACCATGAGTGTGGCAAGAAGAGGGACCCAAAACACGTCCATGGGTGTCCAGGAACAGAGAGGATTTGGGGCACCAGCACCCAAAAATCAGCACCAGAAAGAGGAAGAACAAGGAAGAAGTGTCTTTGTGGCTTTTCAGGGTCGAGGTAGAGGGGAGGGCTTTGGATGTGGTTTGTGACGAAAATGACGCATCAAGGAGGGGCAATTCACTCTCACACAGGAATTTGAGGTGTTTAAAAAACCCAAAGCATTCTGTTTTCAAGGAAAAAGGAGGAAACTCCAGGTGTTTACAAAAAACCAACCCCGTTCCCAAGGAAAGATGAGGGTGGCCGCTGGGACAAAGTGTCACCATGGCCGTGTGTGACAAATGGCTCAGTGCTCCGTGAGCCTGGAATGGTTTGGGATGGAAAGGAACCTTAAATCCCAAAAAAATCCCAGTTCCATGGGCAGGGACCTTCCCCTGTCCCACGTGGTTCCAGCCTGGCCTTGGGCACTTCCAGCGGTGGGAAATCCATGGAATCACCTGGGACCCTCACAGGGAACAATTCCTTCCCAAAATCCCACCCAAATCTCGTCCTCTCCCCGTGACTCCACTTCCCCTTTTCTGAACATTTCTGCCTTGGGAAAATTCTCCTTCCATTATTCCTGAAGCCCCTTCAGGTCCTGCAAGGCCACAGCGAGGTCACCCCAGAACTTCTCTCCAGCTGAACAACTGAATGTCCTGGGGTTGGAAAGTGCGCAGCCCCGTTTGTTTTCCCAGGATTTTGGGGCAGCAGGTGGTGAGCCAGGGTCTTTTTTCTCCTAAAAGCAGCGATTTTGGGCTGTGGGGAACAGGAAACTGCGGGATTTGGGAGGTGGATTGACCCTGGAGCATCTCCAGTTGCCTGGGGCATCTTTTGGGCGCACCTTGGAATGACCATTCGCAGATCCACAGGTGTGGGAATGACCATGGCTGGTTCCATAGGTGTGGGAATGACCATTCCTTATTCCATAGGTGTGGGAATGACCATGGCTGGTTCCATAGGTGTGGGAATGACCATTCCTTATTCCATAGGTGTGGGAATGACCATGGCTGGATCCATGGGTGTGGGAATGACCATCCTTTTTTCCCCCTTATCCCCCTTTTTCCCCCTGTCCCCCCCTTTTCCCCATTTTTCTCTTTTTTCCCCCTTATCCCTCTTTTCCCCCATTTTCCCCCATTTTCCCCTTTTCCCCCCCTTTTTCCCCATTTTCCCCCCTCACCTGCACCCGCTGCACCTGGGCGTAGATGGTGGCGCTGGTTGGGGTGGCCTGGGAGGGGTCCGGGGTGGCCTGGGAGGGGTCTGGGTCACCTGTGGGTGGGGAGGGGTCGCACAATCCCGGGATCAGCCAGGCTGGAAAACAATTCTGAGGTCTCCCAGTCCGAGCGGTGTCCAGTCCCTTCTTGGTCATCCCAAGGAATCTCCAAGAATTCCTTGGACACCTCCAGGGGTGACCACCCCAACCCTGAGCCCCTTCCAAGGCATTTTCCCTTTTCCAGGAGGAATTTTCCCAAATTTCCAGCCCTGGCACAGCTCGAGGCCATTCCTTCTGGTCCTGCCCCATTCCCTGGGACCAGATCCCAAATCCCCTCTGGCAGATCCCAAACTCCCCCTGGATCCCCCTTTTCTCCAGGATCACCCCCCAGCCTCCTCAGGAATTCTCATTTCAGGATTTTCTCCCCCAGAATCCCATCCTTGCTCCCTCAGGGCTGGGCGGGGGGAGGATCCCAGCGATCCCAATCCCAGTTCCACCCCTCAGGACCCCGGGTGGCCGCGTGGGGACCGGTCACAGCCTGGACCCGCTGGCCTCGGAATTCTTTCCCAACCTCTGGGATTTTTGGGATCAGCCCTCGGGGACCCCCACCCGCTCCAGGACCCCCAAACTCACGTCTGGCCCTGAAGGTGACAATGGCCACGATGATGATGATGATGACAATGAAGATGGCACCGAGCACCGCCAGAGGCACCACGAGCTCTGTCCTCACCCTGGGGACACCTGGGACACGAGGGGACACACAGGGGAGGTGGCCCCGGGTCACCCAGAGCCTTTCGTCACCTCTGTCACCTGATTTTGGGGCTGATTTTTGTCACCTGTCCCCTGATTTTGGGGTGATTTCCATCACTTTGTGCCCTGACTTTGGGGTGGATTTTTGTCACCACTGTACCTAATTTTGGGTCTGAATTTTGTCCCTTCATCACCTGATGCAGAGGCTGAATTTGTCACCTCTGTCACCTGATTTGGGGTTGATTCGCTGCAGAACAGGAAGCAAAGGGCAGGAAATGCCTCTGAGCTCTCTTTATTTGCCTTATTTGAGCTAAAAACCCACTGGGGGCTGGATATGGGGTCAGAAAAAAACCCCTAAAATCTCCCTGGTGGCTTTAAGGGGGCTCGAGGGACAGAAATATCGTGAATATTCATAAAAATATCTCCAATATCCGTAAAAATCTCTCGTCTAAAGGGGGATATTTCTGATCCATAGAAATATCTCAAATATCTGTAGAAATCTCTCAAATTCCCCCACCAATATCTCAAATTTCTGCCCAAATCCACCAAGCTCCCATCGCCATGCTGACAGCACGGGGGCATCTCCAGAGCTTCCTTCCCACCCCACAACCCTGGGATTCTGAGCTTCTGGGATTCTGAGCTTCTGGCGTTCCAAAATTCTGGGGTTCCAGGTTTCTGGGGTTCCAGGATTCCAGGGTTCTGAGATTACGGGATCCCAGGATTCTGGGATTATGGGATTCTGGGATTTGAGGATTCCCGGGTCATGGAATTCCAAGATTTTGAGGTTCTGGGGTTCTAGGATTCCAGGATTCCGGGATTCCAGAATTCTGTGATGCCAGGATTCTGGGATTCGAGGATTCCCAGGTTCTGGAATTCCAGGATTCTGGAGTTCTGGGATTCTAGTATTCTGTGATTCCAGGATTCCGGGATTCCAGGATTCTGTGATTCCAAGATTCTGGGGTTCCGGGATTCTGGGGTTCCAGGATTCTGGGATTCTGGGGTTCCGGGATTCTGGGGTTCCAGGATTCTGGGGTTCCGGGATTCTGGGGTTCCAGGATTCTGGGGTTCCGGGTCTCTGGAATTCCAGGATTCCAGGACACCAGGACCTACCCCGCTGCTCGGCGCCGCACTGGGCCGCGTCGAAGGTGGCGCGGCGGCTGCTGACGGGGTTGCGGGCGGTGCAGACGCAGCCGAAGGCCGCGCCCCGCAGGGAGAAGGAGAGGCGCAGGACGCTGCCGTTCCCGGAGCAGATCCCCCCGGTGCCGTTGTCCCGGCTGTCCCAGCTGTAGGAAACGTTGTCCCCCCGCTCCGAGGAGCAGTTCAGCGCCAGGGAGCAGCTCCCGTTGGAGGATTCCCGATGCAGGATCCGGATGCTGGGGTCGGCCACCGGCTCTGGGGAGAGACAGGAATTCCAGGATGTGGAATGGAGGTCGGTGTTTTCCACCTCCCACGTCCCAGACCTGCTCCCAAAAGGCTGAGAACGCCCAGGAAAAAAACGGCAACATCCAGGAAAACAGCAGGAAATGCCAGGAAAAGGCCGGGAATATCCAACAAAAAGCCGGGGAATTCCGGCAAAAAGCTGGGATGGGCCTCCAGCTCTGGAAAAAGGAGAAATGGAAATTCCAGGATTTTTTGGACATCAGGGTGGGCATTTCCCACCCGCTTGACCACCATACACCTCCCAGACCTGCTCCCACAATGCTGGAATCATCCGGGAAAAGGCCTGGAACATCCAGGAAAGGCCTGGAACACCCAGAAAAAGGCCTGGAACATTCAGGAAAGGCCTGGAACACCCAATAAAAGGTCTGGAACATCCAGGAAAAGGCCTGGAACATCCAGGAAAGGCCTGGAACACCCAGGAAAAGGCCTGGAACATCCAGGAAAGGCCTGGAACACCCAATAAAAGGTCTGGAACATCCAGGAAAGGCCTGGAACACCCAGAAAAAGGCCTGGAACATTCAGGAAAGGCCTGGAACACCCAATAAAAGGTCTGGAACATCCAGAGAAGGCCTGGAACATCCAGGAAAGGCCTGGAACACCCAGGAAGAAGCGGGGATCACCATCCCTGTGATTCCCAGAGGATTTTTTTACCAAACACTTCCAGCTGGATCTGCCAGACCTCCTCCTCCGACCCCTTGTTGACGCTGTACTCGTAGAGCCGCTGGTCATCCCGGCTGGTGTTGAGGATTTCCAGGGAAAAGTTCTGCTCGCGGAAGCGCATCCGCTCCGGCTGGAACTCCGAGTGATTCCCGCCGGAAATCTTCACCAGGAATTTCTTCGTCAGCGGCTCCTTTATGATTTTTTTCCAGGAGGCTTCCCCGAATTGCTTGGTGCATTCCTGCAGCTCACGGGGGATCCGCAGGAGCGTCGCCTCTCCCAAAATTCCCAGCACCGTTTCCTTGGCTCCGATCCCTGGGAAGAGGGGAGGGAGAAGGGTTGAAGTTCATGGGATCGTCCCCATCCCAGTCCTGGAGGAATCCTCCGGGATCGGGTCAGGCATGGCCTGGATCCAGCCTGGTGAGCCACAGGATCCCAGATCCACGGGAGAAACCTCCAGATCCAAGGGAGAGACCCCAAATCCAAAGGTGAGACCCCAAATCCAGGACAGAAACCCCCAGATGCAACGGTGAGACCCCAAATCCCAAGGAATCTCTTTCCCAGCTTCAAACCTCCTGGAATTTTGGGAATTGCAGCCACCTGGAAGCAGGTTCAGGAACAAATCCCACATTTTCCTTCTGGTTGAGGTGGTCCCAGGTTGGTTTTTTTTTTGGAAAAAAAAACCTGAGGGGTGTCATCACACCACAGGATTCCCGTGGGAGGATTTTTCCCCCAAACCCTCTTTGTTGTTTTTTATTCCAAGCCAATGATTCAGAATTTCCTCGATTTGGATTTTCCTCGACTCATATTTTCCCTCATTTCCGGGCAAACAAATTTTGATTTTGTACAAAATTGTGGGAGGAGAAGGAGGAGGAGCCAAATCAGGAGCTGCCAAAAGCAGAGAAGGGTCCCCATTGTGCCACCCCCACTTTTCCCAAAGTCTTTTTTCCATGGGTTTTGGCGCAGAAAGGAAAGGAAAAAGGAAAGGAACAAAAGGGAAGAAAAATGAAGAAAATTGAAGAAAAAGGAAGAAAAAGGGAAAAGGGAAAAGGGAAATGGCCTCCTATGGTGGAACCTGGAATTCTGGCTGGAAGCCTGGAGGGAATTTTGGCTCTGCAGACCCCCCAAAACCAGGGATTGGCCCCATTTTCATGGAAGTTGTCCCATGGCAAAGGGTTGGAAGCCAACAATCCTCAAGGCCCTTCCAGCCCAAACCACTCCATGATTTTATTCCTTGGGAATCTCCCAGCCCAGGGATCTGAGCCAATCCTCCGGGAATCTTCCTCTGGAACATCCCAACTCCCTCTGGCACTGAATTAATCCCTCAGGGCTCTCACAACCCCGCTAAAATTCGCCCAAATCCTTCACTTTTCCGGCTGAATTTTTTCCATCACGTTTTAATCCCCTCCTCCCTCTGGGAGAGTTTTAGGGACACTCCTCACATCCCACCTGGAGCACCTCCACCCCAAAGCCCTAAACCCCTTCAGATCCACCAAAAAAAACCCCCAAAATCCAGGAAAAACCACCCCAAACCCCCCAAAACTGGGGAGGAAACCCTACATACCCCAAAGAGCTCCGAGGATGAGGAGCAGCTGGAGCCAAGCCCCGGAGCCCATCCCGGGATCACGGAGCCTTCGCTGCTCCGGGGCTCAGAGCAGGTGCTGACAGGAAGACCTTCACCCCCAGGCTTCTCATTTCCCGTTTTCTGGGGACTGAATGAGTCGAACCTTTGCCTTTTATCTTCTTTGGTCGGAAATTATTCAAAGCGCGGGGTTGTGCTCCGTGCCCCAGAAATGTTGCGGAGAAAAGCAGAAAATGGGTTTGGTTTTTCTGCCAGAATTCCCTTATCCTGCTGAAGGTCCTCAAACTGCTCTGAAAAAAGAAGAAAAATCCAGTTTTGAAGGAATTTCATGGATTTTTCCAGCTATGGAGAGGTGGAAGCTTCAAAGCAATCCCGCTAAGGGACGTGGGCGGCTCCTCGGAGCATCCCAAAATTTGTTTCATCCCCCAGGGGTGGGGCCACCCAAAAAGGTGAGAAAACCCCAAATTTCCCAGGAATATCCCAGCTTGGAGCTCCATGGGATCCATCGAAGGAGGAGGAGGATGGGAGGTCACCAAAAACTCACCTGGGAGAAGCCAAATCTTCGTTTTTGGTGGATTTGGGATCATCTGGGGATGG